GCAAAAATATCTATTATCTAAAAATCAAGGATGATTTTTAATCTTCTCTAGTTACACACCAAGTGTTTGGTAATTTTCATTTATTGTAGTTCTAGTTACATTTTAAATTTCATAAAATAGTATTTTTTAATTTATTATTTATGAAAAATATTTATTAATCCGATATTATGTTATTTATTATATTCTTTACTATTTCTTATAAATTGATTTTTTATTTATTTTGAAATATTTCAAAAAATTTATTGTACTATTTGCTTTGTAATTATAAAAAAATTAAAAATTATTTTTTCCTCATTTTTTCACATGTCTAGAGATAAACACAATGAAAGGTTTAGTGATTCAAGTCTAGGGCTATCAATTGTTACAAAATTTGTTTAAAAAAATTGATGACTCACTCTTTGGGAAAAAATATCTTAAGGTTTACCTTTTCTGCCACCATACAAGGGGTTATGATTTGGAAAAAGAATATTCAGCTATAATATTAATTTTGTCGATTTTGAAGGAAGGGGTGTTCACGTGATATCTCAAGCTTCATCTAAAATCTATTTTCTATTTTTATTGAGCTAATGTTATGAATAATCTCTTAATTATATTAATATATTTAAAGTAATACTTAAATTTTAAAAATATATAATCTGATATTTGAATTATAAATCTGTTAACTAATGTGGTACTTTTAAGATTATTTATCCATCACATGCTATCATTTAAAGCTAGTCACATTAGATATGATTATCACATTAATTAATATATTTATAATTTAGGTATCATGTCATAGATATTTAAAGTTTAAGTATCATATTGAACATTTCACTATAACTGAAGAGTTATTCATGATGTTAACCATTTTTTATTTAGCTTTTTATTTTTGTTTTCATATTTTATTAGATAAGTTTTGTAAAATAAAAAAAAATCAATGAAGTTAAGGATGACAAAACAACTTATATCTAATAAATTTTGATTCGTCCTAATTAACTATAGGTGCAATTTAAAAAAAAATATGGATCATAATTTTTTAAATCTGAGGTCAGGTCAAAGAGGAGTTTAAAGTGTTCCACCTCATTTCGGGTATATATAAAAAATATTTTTATTATTTATTTAATTTTACATTTATATATATGTATTATATTAATAAAATTATTATTTGATATTTTAATTTAATAAATCTATATGACATCTTTATTTGACTTCTTTTTTTTTTTGTCATTTTCTTTGTTTTTTAGTTCTTAATTTATTTAATTAGATAAAATTTGTAGGAAAAAAATCAAAGAAGGTAGGAATGACAAACCAACTCATTTGATAGGTTTCAATTGGCCTTAATCCAATAGGTGTGTTTTCTAAAATCTGGGATAAGGTTGAGTTTTTTTTTTTTTTTTTTTTTAAGGGACTCAAATCATAGGTGAATTTAGGGTGTTTTGTCATATCCTAGTTATATATAAAATATATATTTTTTATTAATTATTTAATTTTATATTTATATATGTATTATATTAATAAAGTTATTATTTAATATTTTATTTTAAGAAAAACTATATTATACAAAATTAAAATGTAATTTGTATTAAAAAAATAATATTTTCATGAACATTATACTAATTAAAATTATGGAATTAATTTTTGATCAATTTGGGTCGAATACGGGTTATAAAAATGTGTGACGGATCAAGATCAGGTATAAATGAATAATAACTCTATGTCAAACTTAATTGAAGTTAGGTTGAATTATTAAGAAAAATAGAATTAGAGTTGAACCATTTTCCATTAATTTGGCTCAATTTTTTTCATTTTTCAGTAGACATTTTTTTTTAGTTTCATCTTTTCTTAATTATCTATTTTAACATTTCTTATTTATGCTTTGAAAGATAAAATGGCAATAGAAGTGTCAACATGGCACACCATTTGACTTTCTTTTTATTTTTTCAGCTATTTTTGTCTTTTTTCTTTTTAAATTAAATGAATTTTGTAAGAAATGGCATCAATGGAAGTAAAGATGTATAAACAATCCATATTGGATGGATTTTTATCTATTAGTCCAATATGGACATTTTTTTTTTTAAATTAGAATCAGGTCAAGATATGATGGTTTTTTCTTCTTGAAAATCGAGGTTGAGTCGAAGATGAGTTAAGGGTGTTTTGCCCTGCCCCGTCCTAGGATATTAAGGTGTTTATTCTATAGGTTCTGTTAATTTTGATCTGAAATCAAATTAATTGAATTATGTTATTTTATTTTCATTAACTAAACCAAATATGCTAGTTTTGACAATTAATCGATTGAATTTAATTTGGTTAGTTTGGTTAACCAAATAATAAATAAATTTAAGTTAAACTATATTTTAAACTCTCAATTTGTTATATTTGAAATAAATTAAATAAAATTATCCAATAAAATATTCAAATACCAAATTATTAAATAAAAAACTCTAACAATTTTAAAATAGAATGATTTATTTCATATATTTTTAGTTTTACATTTGAGTTTTATTATATTTCGTTTAAAATTTCAATTAATTATGATTTCGAATTGAATTAATCAAAATCTGAAATTTTTTTAAAATCATTTTCGATAATTGATCAAATTACTTTAGTGGCCAATTGATTAACCAAATTAAATCAATTCGGTCAATTAATTCAATTAAAATTGAATTTTAAACTTGAAAAAATGTACCCTGAGGTTTTAAATATTGATACCCAAAGGATTTTGAAAATGGAATTTAACAAATTATACTTGGAGCATTTAAAGTTCAGATTATACTTGATGTTTTGACAAAAAGTCTCGAAAGTCTTGTAAGTTTCGAAAATATACCTAAAGGTTTTGAAAATCTTATTCAAAGGTTGTAATAATGTTCATGCAAATTATATCTGGAGGATTTGAAAATCAATTTAGAGATTCTTCGCAAATCATATCTTGAAGTTTTGGAAAATGATGTCTTGAGGTTTTTGAAAAGAAAATCATGAGATTTTGGACAATAATACCCAAAAGTTTTGGAAAATGATACAAGAGGTTTGGAAAATGATACGTAACCATAAGTTTTGAAAATATACCCGAAGGTTTTGAAAAGAATATGGTTTTAAAATGATACACGAAGGTCTAGAAAAAAGATTAAGAAATATGGTTTTAAAATGATATACAAAAGTTTAGAAAAAGGATTACCTGAAGATTTTGAAAAAGATCCTCAAAAGTTTTAAAGATGTATCTAGAAGTTTTTAAGATAATTCTTGAAGTTTTGAAAATGTAACCAAGAGGTTTTGAAAAATATAGTTGAAAGTTTTGAAGATGTATTTGAAGATTTTAAAAGAAATACTAAGAGGTTTAAGATGATACCTTGAAGTTTTGAAAAAGATATTCAAAAGTTTTTAAAATGTACCCAAAGATTTAAAAAAAAAAACTCAATGGTTTTTAAAGGTTATTTCCAAAAGTCTTATAAATTGAGCTTATTCATTAAAAAATGCTCCTCTTCAAGAAATGTTTTAAAACTTTAAAAGGAATATAAAATAGTTATTTAGAGATTTTGAAAACTAGCACTTAAAAGTTTTAGAGAAGATACCTTGATGTTTTAAACTATTTTATACTTATTTTTGTACATTTCGATGCACCAACAACATTTTTTCACAATAATACTAAGCATTTAAAATTCTTAAACCATATTTTTATAATTACATTTTTAAACACACTTTTTTAAAATATAACTTTTCTAAACCACAATAGTAATTCTAAACTATAGCATACTAAAATTCCACATGATAAATAGAATAAATTCAATATTAAAAAATTAAGTACTAATTTTAGGTTTGAAAATTTTAACTATTAAATCTATAATATAAAATTTAATTGGTATTCTAGTAAAAATTAAATATTTGATAGTTTTTTTTTTTTTTGATCGAGTGATATGAATTTATAATTACTTTCCAATTCATAAATGTTTAAGAGGAATGAGTAAATTGTTAAAATAAAAAGAATAAAATTAATGTAATTAAATATTATTTTTCTTAAATAAAAGTGACAAGTTGCTAAAAGCTACTAAGTATTTTTAGCACTTTTAAATTGAAAACTTTTTTCACTAAATGATGTTTAAAAAGGATGATATCATTTTTAGTCTTTGAATTATAGTAAAATGATCAATATAATACTTAAATTTTAAAAATTTTTAATATGAGAGATTTGTAAATTATAAATTTGTTAATTAATGTGATACTTATAGAGCTATTTATTAATCACATATTATCATTTGAAGTTAATTATGTTATAAACGAATATTATTTTAGGTAAAATTTATATACTACATCGAAAATTTTAAAAATTAAGATATCATATCAACTATTTTATTGTAATTTAAAAATTATTGATAATATTAATCCTTACTAAAAAAGAGTTATCAAAGATATTAAAAAATAAAATCATTAAAAATTTGATGATTTAACAAATACAAAATATAATCAAATAAAGTATTTGTAGAATAAAAATATTTTAATAATTTTACTAGATTAATTTAAGGATGTAAATATAACTTAATTATAATATCTTAATTAAAAAAAATGACAATACATTTTATTGAAAAGTTAAAACAAAAAAGAATTTATCTATTAAAGAAATTTGAGATGTCAATGAATGTGAGATTGGTTTTGGTTTGCCTCAATTTTTAATAAATTTTAAACAATTTGGATCTAACTTGATATTAGATAATTATTTTCAATTTTCGATTTTAACTTGACATATATGTCTAATATAAATTCGATTTATATTCAAATTGAAATTAATTAATAATTTAAATTTAATATTATATTTATAACAATATTATTTTTAATATAAATTATATTTTAATTATATAAATATAATCTTTTTATTAAATTAAAAATTAAAGTATTTAATAATAATTTTATTAATAATATAAATAAATATAAAATTAAATAAATAATAAAAATATTTTATATATATCCAAGACTAATTTAAATAGAGTATTCTAAAATTTATCTTTAAGCCAATCTCAATTCTTTTTTAAAAAATCATAAATATCGAATTAATAACAAAACCAAACTCATCATAGACAAATTATTTTATCAATTTTAAGAAAAAATTAGTAAAAAACAGTATTTCTTACGTCATCTCTCTGTTCGTGTCTAAAGAAAAGAAGAAAATGAGAAACAGAAAGAGAATTAAAAAAAAGGGGCGGGGGGCAATATCTTCTTTAGTTCTGGCGTTCTGTAAATTTGAAATTTGAAAACCCTAGCTCCATCATTTTCCCATATATTATTTGTAAGTTAGATCTTTACTTTCTTTTTGTTTGTTTTATATTTCTTTGCTTTCTCTTTTGTCTTGTGAAGAAATGGAGCGATCCGATATCGCGTTGAATTCCGGGTAATTCATATTTCTCTTTGAAAACTGTTGATCTTTTGTTGTTGTTGTTTTTTCTGTTTCTAGATGTGTAGATTAGCGCCTGTAATTAAGACATATTTGAAGAGAGTTTTTAGATAAAAGAAGAAAAGAAAAAGGGAGTTTTTGATAGAGAGGAAAAAGAAAAAAAGGAGATGCGTTCAAAGAAGATGGAAGGACCATCAGCCTCGACTATGCGTCGAGACCCTTATGAAGTTTTGTGCGTTTCAAGGGATTCCACTGATCAGGAGATCAAAACCGCTTATAGAAAGCTAGCTCTCAAGTAAGTTTTTGTTTTTTTTTTTTTTTGGGTAATGTTTTGGTTTCTTTCATATTAGATTGGATTTCGAGCTAATGGGAAGTTGATTATTGGATGAATTTTGCATTTAAGTTTAATTGCTAGCTGAATTATAGTTCAATAAGGCGAATGGCTTAATGGGGAAATTTTGCAACTTCTTGTCGGTTTAAAATGATGGAGATTTTAATTGGAAACCTCTATGAAGAGTTCTTATACTTGTAGGAAGTCTGTTTCCTAGGGGATTCTGTGAAGAGTTCTTATACTTTGAACTGCTGACTGTAAAAAATAGAGTTGAGCCAGATTGTTTACAACACAATGTCTGTTGCTGAGCTTGTGGAAATCTTTCTTTGATTGTGCCAATTCCTCATGTACTTAACTGAGGGTTTATTTTGTTGTCCTTTGCTAGTTGAGGCCTTCTTGTGTTCTGTTTTATGAGTTACTATGCAAATATTTCAATTATGAGCTGGTGACGTTGTAACATTGGCGTCCATCCAGCTACCTATGAACTAAAATATATGTGAAACTTGAACATGATGGAATCTTACAGACCAGATTTTTACTGTCACATTTTTGTTAATCCCTGTACAAATGACAGATCTGTAGCACCAATCCTCTAGAATTATGATTGAGCTACATCAAATGCTTGTTTGTTTGGTTTACTTTTAACCTGGATCTTTTCATATTTGCTTTTTTGTTCTTTTGACAGGTATCATCCTGACAAGAATGGCAGTAACCCTGAGGCTTCAGAGCTTTTTAAGGAAGTAGCATATTCTTATAGCATTTTATCTGACCCAGAAAAGCGAAGACAATATGACAGTGCAGGGTTTGAGGTGCTTTCCTTTCCTTTCCTTTCTTTTCACATTGTTTCAGTATTCTTCATTATGTTCAATGTTGTCTTTTATTTGTCTTTGTTGTACAGAATTAAGCATTGCAACATATTTTCATGGTTCATTTCCTTTATTAAGTGTTCCTGTTTAGCACAGATATAAGTATTCTTTTTTATTCGACTCTCACTATCTTGCTGAGGAAGTAAGATTTTCTTGCTTGGGGATTGGTGCAATTTCTGTAAATTTAGATTTTAAGATGAACTTCTATTCAAAAGGAAAAAAAAAGTTTATGATGAAGAATATTTTTATTGAGAACATTAGTTTTAGTTTAAAGTTGCAAAGCTAGATTTTCAAATTGATGTAGAAATTGATCCATTTTTTCTGATGGACCAAGAACTCTTTTACATCGGGAAAGAAAAAATGATTTTTACCCCATAGTATGTTTAGTTGACTATTATGTAATGCTAGGCTCAACTGTAAAATTGAAATTGCTTCTGTTGATGCTATCTGGGATATATTATGGCAGGATTCTCTTTATTGTTAGGTTTAAGGTAGGGATTGTTCAAAAGCCAGAACCCAGGAAAGCCTTATACAGAAAGAAAATAGATAGAGGAAGGTGCTATCTCTGACATTTTGGAGTGGCCTGGCTACTGATTGAATTTTTTTCTTATATCTTTAGGTATGAAATAATTGCCTATTAAAGAGGCAGGAATTATAGGGAATGTGCAATAAAATGGCTCTCAACTTGAGCACCAGGTATATCATAGAATTATTTGGTTCTTACCTTTCTTTGGAATGTCTTGGAAGAATTCTGATTTGTGAGGTCTGATCGCGAAAATGGAAGTTGCTGCCATATAAAGACAGATAGTTGGATGCAAAAGCATGTTATGGGATCAATATAGGTAGTTGAATTATGTACTGTTTTCTTTCTATTATGCCTACCCAAATTGGATGGCACATGACAAGTGCATTTTTAAAAAAAGTCTTAAGTTGTTTTTAACAGTTAATATTCACTTCTCTCTCTCTCTCTTTCTCGGAAAGGGGAGGAAAAAGGAAATAGAAGGAAGATATAAGATTAGGGAAGAACAAAGAGAACCAAGCAAGACTGGAAATCTTAACACTGGCATCTCAAATCTCGATTCATAATATCTCACTGATCAAAGCTGCTCGAAACTGAAATTAAAGGTAATTATAGGTTACTCTTTGAGTTCCAGCATTGATACAAAAATACCAAGTATAACCTTAAATGACCTAATAATTCCTTAAATACTGTAACAATTTACAATCGAACCCATAACATGTAAAAAATTAGTAAAACAAATTAAATAATTTAATCCTTTTATAGACACGATCTTGTCACACGTAAAATATTGATGTTAGAGACACCAGACTCTTGAGTTTTGAAGTGTTGGAATGGAAGAATTGATGCAAATCCTTGAATGGCAATGCCGACAATGGTTTTGGATGTGCATTAATATTGCAAATGGTGCATCTTTTACCTCATTCTTGAACACTCTAAGGATAAATTAATGGAACAGCTTTTACCAAATAGAACATTATTAGACTTCTCATTTGGTTGGATGGACCACAACATAGGCCTCTATATCAAGAAGAATAAATTCGATTCAAGGATTTTTATCATGTATGCGAACTGAACACTCTTCATGCTTCTACATCCTTGAACTTGATATAAATCTTTAGATCCAATTTGTGGAATCTCAACATTTCTAACTTCAAAATCTAGTTGTTTAGACAGATCATATTTCATTGCATTTATTCGTGAACCTTTACATCTTGCTTTGACCATTTGATTCATCAAGACTCAGTTGCCCTTGATCTCAAGAATTACTGACTTGGTTACAATTTTAACTTCTTCATTGTCAGCCTTAAGTTCTTTAATTCCCCTAACTTTTGTAGTTAAAACCTCTGTCACAATTGAAATGTTTTCTGCTAGCATTTTGGAGGAACACCATTGACATCACATGGTTGAAAAGGAAGCTAGAAAGCTCTGCATTTGCCCTAATTGATCATACTTATATTTGACTTCCCATTTTCAAGTATTTTCTCACTTTAAAGCAAGTAATTTTTAGGATCATGATATTTATAAAGTACTAAAGGGTGAAAATTCTCAAGACTGCATCTATTTCTCAAAGAAATTAGCTCATCAAGTAGGGTTCATTCCAAAATCATGAATTAGTTTTAAACTTGCACATATTAAAATCTCAATATAAATGCTTCATAAACTGATTGTATAGAAACCGGCTAATTCTTGTAAATTGGATCTAAAAAATGGAATTAGGTCGTAAAAATTAGTAGTGAATACTCTTTGACAAAGCTTAACATGGTGTTACTAATGTCCATGATAATGTATCATGGTCATGTTAGATAATGTTGTAGCTTAGAGGCTATTAGTGCTGGATTTAATTGGCAAAAAGATTGACAACTAAATGAGGCAATTGGTGGTGTTGGTCTTGTGATGAGGCTAAATAGCAAATAGGGTTTTAGGTTATGTATCCGGCCGTTTCAGTAATGTATCTTTGTTAAATCTGAATGAGATGGGTATGTAAGGGTTATGTATACTTGCTTCATAGATTCTCTAAAGTGCCCCTTATGGAGTAGTATGGATCAGTAAACCTAAATATCAAAATCATCTAGGAAAGCATCAATTGGAAACATTGACTTCATGCATGGGACAAGATTGTGCTTATGGAAGGATTAAATTACTTAGATATTTGTTTTACTGATGTAACAAATTTTTTACATTTCAATTGTTGTTTATAGAATTTAAAGAATTATAAGGCCATTTAGGGTTATATTTGGTGTTTATGTTAGTACTTAGGAGCAGCGTATTTCAATTTCAATCCACTTTTCTTAGTATTCTGTTTTTTTCTGTCCTGTTCTCCTTTTTCTACATCATGTAGCCAACCCAACTAAATTGTTAGGCTTAGTTGAGTTGAGTTTTGAGAAGATTGTCCCTATTACATAAAATCTTTTTATTCATGCATATTTTGGAACTAGATCCGTGAATTACTTGGTGTGTGTGTGTGACTCTTTAGCTTGCAATTAGATCTCCAACTTATAATTTTTAATATTTTTACTTTCATATTTACTGCAATCCATTACAGCTTTAACCAAAAAAGCACATTGTTTAATGCAGGACATGGTTTAGATTGTATGTATTTGAAGATTTTCATGAACGGACTTGATCTTTGAATTTAGTAGTATGATATTGAGTCTAATCCAAAATGTGAGGATGTCTTAAAAAAGTTGGCTTGTTTGGGTTCTTAGTGGGGGACATGAGCTCTTCTTAATCAATTTATGGATTGTGCAAATTCCTCTTTGTCTCTATCAAACACGCATGCACATACATGCAAAGAGAGGTATTTATGTGCTTCCTTTGATTGATTGAAACATGCCATGGCAACTTGTGTTGATGGAAATCCACCGCCGTTAGACTACAAATATCTCCTTAGATCCAATGGTGGAGCCAAAAATTTTATCTAGTGGGGGCTCAGTTCAAATATATTAAATTATAAAAAAATAACAATAAAAAAAATAATGATAACCATAATAAAAAGCTAAAACTGCCATATCCCATCATAATTGTTAAAAATTTTACAATTATCCTTGATGTTTCATATTTTGAAAAAGTTGCACAATAGCTTTGTTATCCTTTTGAATACATATTTTTCAAATGCACATAACTAAACTATCATTTAATCATTGATCTTTCATTTGATTATGCAAAGGAGTCCTTAAAATGTTCATTGATGAAAATGCTCTCTCTACTTTGATAATTACAACAAGTAGAATAATACTAGCCTCAGCAACAAATAAATCGGACCAATGAGAATTTTTTGATCTTTATCCCAGACTAGAACACGAGTTCATATTTTTTTGGACTCAGAGGCAGCTTAAGCCCCCACTGAGCACTGTAGGGCTCTGCCCTTGCTTGGATCACCAATTGAGGATTTTGGCTTTTATTTTCTTTTAAAATTTCCCTCTAGTTTTACCACTAGAAACTAGGAAACCTTCAGTTTTAACTGTTCTTAATGATCCCTACATACTTTAGTGCATTTCCTTCTTGTTTCAGATTAACCTACTTTGCAACACTACTCTGCATTAAGTACTAACCTACATTTGCTAGATTCCCATGTCATTTGAGTTCTCTAAGTGTTGCCTGCCCCTTTTATTTCAAATTCCATTGATATTGTTGTCCAACTTTGTGTCGATGACTAAAATTCAAAGAATCTAACTCCATTTATCATTGACAGCACTATTTTCGTTCGTAAATTACCTTGATGATGTTAACTTATGATTGTTTTTGATTTCCTCCAATTGTATTTCTTTTCTCTTGTTCAATATTTTCCATCTCCTATTCCTTTTACAATATAACGGTTGAGGAAGTAGATGAAAAAGTTGTTTTTGATGGAAATGAGTGGCTCAAGAAATGCAAAATTATGACCTAACATAATTCCTTTTTTTAGCCTTTCATACAGCCGACCTTAGAGTTATGGGATATAAGGCTTAGTTTGTTGTTGGTGTTATTGTTATTCCTTGTATGATGGCAAGTTGTCAAAACCTAATGTTTTTCTCTTTTTTTCAACAAATGTTATAAGGCTATTGAAGATTCAATGGATATGGAGATTGATTTGTCCAATCTTGGAACTGTTAATACAATGTTTGCAGCGTTATTCAGGTGAGACATCCTTTGAAACATTGGAGGTTCTTTTTTTTTTTTGGTGCATTTAGTTGTTTCTAAGTCACTTATTCTTTCTTCTACCCTGCTTCTTAAATATATATATATCTTTAGCAAGCTTGGTGTCCCCATCAAGACTACAATCTCAGCTAATGTTCTTGAAGAAGCTCTAAATGGAACTGTCACAGTTAGACCCCTTCCTATTGGAACATCAGTTAGTGGAAAGGTGCTTACTTTCTTTCTATTCGATGCACCCTACTTTTTCAGTTGCTTTCTCAAATTCTCATTCATCTTGCTGCAGGTGGACAAGCAATGTGCCCATTTCTTTGGTGTAACAATCAGTGACGAACAAGCTGAGTCTGGGATTGTTGTGAGGGTAACTTCAACATCACAAAGCAAATTCAAGGTATGTTATCTATGAAACCTTTCTTTGAATGATCTTAAGTTCTTTTCAAAATGACTATGAAGTGTTTGGTTGTGTGCTCCAACTCATCACTTCTCTCTCTGGTGCTCTTTTGCTGTGTGTTTATATGTGAGTGCATGTCCATTGTGCATGGTTATGCATCTCTTCTAAGAGTAACTATGTCAAAGTTATATAATAACTCAGTGTTTCATTAATGTAAAACTTTCAGTTACTATATTTTGAACAAGATGTCAATGGTGGCTACGGTTTGGCCCTACAGGTACTAAGCACTTTATTTTTGATTCTTGTCCATCCCAATTTTTTTTATTTACCTATAATTTTTGGACTAAATGTTTGACTTTAAGTGTTATTGTCAAGATAAACAATACAACTTTTATTTCATTTATTTGTCATGTGATTGTCTTTACTATATCTGTCTAGTAATATGGGTTGAAATGAAGTGACACAAACAAAACCAAAATATCTATTGCCACCGTATTACTTTCATTGTCATTAGTGGGAAGCCTAGTGAAAACCTCATGAATGATATTTAAACAAATTACTAGGTATTGGCTGTGCTAGCAATCTGTGCATGATCACGAGTAGGTTCTGATGGTATATTTTGACCTGAAACATTTTTTATTTTTTATTTTTGTCAGAGTGGAACGTGAAAAAGTTTAGAATTAGCAGTGATGGTGTTAACTCTTCCCTTTCTCTTCCTAGAAAGTTTTATCTCTCAGCATTATGCTTCTCCTTTGTCACAAGTTTCAATTGTGCACTACTACAATGAACTATTTAAATATGTTGCTACCACTTAATAACCTTTGTTGGTGGTGAAATTTGTTCTCTTGCCTGTAAAAATATTAGTTGTTTAATGGTCTGAGTAACTGTTGAGTAGGTATCATGACAGTCCAATCTGTTGCTTTATTGACTACCCAGTCTTCAGCAAATAAACTTTTAGAATCATCGAATAATTCTGAAGTCCTGTTATTTTTCACTTTACTTCTTTATCTGCTGTCCCTAGCATACTACATGCAGAGTAGGATGTTTTTAGCTTAGGCTGGATGTACATGTATTGGAGGTGAGTAGATGCAAACTCTTTTTTTTTTTTTTGGAGGGGAGGTATGGTATATTCTTATTCTTGATCTTCTCCAGTTATTTAGTGGACAAATTTTGATTGCAGGGTTGGTTTTGGAAAGGAAATGAGGAAACATATTGTTATATTGGTATTTACAGCAGCAGGATTTGGTCATGCTTTCCTTTTTTTTATAGAACAAAATAAAAAGGAAAACCCTTTTACTATCTGAAAGGCACTCTGATTTTTGGAGATTATCCAGGAAGCATGCTAGAAGCATTTTGTTGTTGTCTTTCTTAAAAAATGAGAAAATAAATTATTTAATTAATAAGAAATTAAAGACATTAATTTAGGATCCTATAATACTAAGGTTTTAATGAAGCTTTATTTTTTGTCTCTAAGCTATTTCATCTTATAGTTTAGTCCTTCTAACGAAATGAAATGAAAAAACAGCTAATAATGCTAAACAAAAGTTTCCAAATGTCAAAAAAGATTAGTACCTTAAAAGCCATTTTGTCAATTTTAACTTGTGATAATTTAAAGACATTTAGGAATTAAATGGAGTAATGGAGAGGTTAGGGATGTAAATGATTTTTAAAAAAGATAAGACAAATGGTGCATTTTACCCTAAAATATTGGTAAAGCATCAAAGCTAAAAGTATTGACTTTTGCTTCTAGAGTAAAAGGAAAAAGTAGTAGCCAAAATTTGCGTTTTCCTTTTCTGGCCTTTTGCTATTAGAAGTAAAAATTACAATAAGTAGTTCTGGCTCCTCCATCACTTTTTCTCCACTACTTTTTGATACATTTTGTCATCATTCACATGTGAGGGGTTTGTGATAAATGACTTGGTCCCTAAGACCCACTCACGTGAAAGTGATGATGAAGAAGAAAAAAGTAATGGTGGGGATCTTAAGCCATACTAATTAAGAGTTAGTATTTGATACACTTTCAATGTAAATTTTTAATTTGACAATTGATGTTTAGAGATTGGGACATGTTCCATTTCTATTTTTAATTATTTTTTTTATATTTAAGTATATCTTAAGGGGGCGTTTGGTTTGTGCAATATAACTTTCCTTCTCGGAATCTAACTTTCTATTATTTGATTCCTTAGTTTGGTTCAAAAACTCTCCCACATTAGGAATATTATAATCCCAATAGTTTCAAAAAGGGAGAAAGTAGGGGAATAGAAAACTCTCTTTTCCCTTAGTTTTTTTAGATTTCAAAGGGAAAATGACATTTTTTTCTTATTTGCCTTCACTTAACTGTATATTCAGATTACATAGATAATGTTTTTTACCTTAGAAACATAGTAATTTCATATTTTGCTTTTTACGGTTTTGACAAAGATGGCATTTTTAAAATTAAAAACATGATTTTTGTTGAAAATAATATATTATGAAAAATTTATTTGTCAAAATTCAATAAAGATGATGTTTTAAGATAAAATTGCAGTCTTTGTTGAAAATATAAAAAAAATTATTTCTCAAAATTTAATAAAAAGGATATTTTTAAGATAAAAATACAATCTTTGTTGAAAATATTACATGTTGTTCACATGTCATCAAAGATAATATGGTAAAACATTTTATTAGGTAATCTTACATTCTTCTAACTGAACATAAAAATCTTATACTCTCTAAGATCAACAAAACTCAGGAAATACACATTTTCCTTCAATAGCTGTTTGTTTTTGACATGATTCATTTAATGTTTTACTAGTGCTCTATTGTTCAACAAAAGCTTGTGTGTTTTTTTTTTTTTTTTTTAAATTTTAAATTTTTAATGTTATACTAGTAATTCTATGTTCCTGCATCAAAAGCTCTTATGGTCATTGCTATCCCTTTTCTGTCATTGTCTTGGAAGTTCAAGGATATCTTGTTACATGCAGTTGTGTTTAGAAGTAATAGGCATTTATCCATACATTTATTACTATGTTTATGATTTCATTCTCTGTACAGGAAGACAGCGAGAAGACAGGGAAGGTGACATCTGCTGGCATGTATTTCTTACATTTTCAAGTATACAGAATGGATTCCACTGTAAATGCGGTATTTGAGTTGTCATTTCTTACTTTATCTTCTTTGTCTCTGCTGGATATTTGGCTTCTTGTTGTGGTAAGAAATGATGATTTATTCATGTGTTATGCAGTTAGCAATAGCTAAAGACCCTGAATCTGCTTTCTTTAAAAGGTTGGAAGGTCTTCAACCTTGTGAGGTTTCAGAACTAAAAGCTGGCACTCATATATTTGCTGTTTATGGTTCGAGCTGTTTGTTTTTTATGTTAATTTTGTTAAAAGCATGTTTTGGAGTATTTCTGTTATTGGTTGACTGGTTTGGCTGATTTTTCTCAGGAGATAATTTTTTCAAGACTGCTACTTACACAATTGAGGCACTTTGTGCAAAGTCATATGAGGATACCTCTGAGAAGCTCAAGGGTGTTGAAGCTCAGATTTTAAGAAAGAGAAATGAGTTGCGTCAATTTGAAGCGGAATACAGACAAGTATTAATCCATCCGTGTTCTATTTAAGGCTTGTTATAAGTATGGGTTATAACATTTGATCTAACGATTCTGGTGGGATATTTTGTAGGCATTGGCACACTTTCAAGAAGTGACCAACCGGTACAGCCAAGAAAAGCAATCTGTATGTTTTGAAACCTTTTGTTCTTTTATGTTGCAGTGATACTGTTTTTCCTGCATTTATGCTATCTTTTCAATTTAGGAAGTGACTGCATGTGTATAAGGATATATTTTTCTGTATATATGCTCATTTAATTCCCCTGCACATACAGTCATACGTACTTATGCATTCTAATATTTAATAAATGGCTATAGAAAATGATCCTGAGCTTCTTGATATTGCCTAAGCAGTAATTGCTTATTTGGATTCACTTCATTCTCGAAGTGTATTATGATCAAAACTGTAACCTGACTTATGTAAATATATTTTTGGCATGTATAACACAGGTAGACGAGCTGCTGAAACAGCGTGATAGTATCCATGCTTCATTTACTGTAACAAGAGCACTGAACAGTCTTGGTGTTAATTTAAGTAACGGAAGTGGTAGCAAAGTTCCCGGTGAGACTGAGAGTCCATATGAAGATGGAAACTCAGATGGGAAGGATAAGTCAGGCAAAAAGAAATGGTTCAATTTGAATATGAGGGGATCTGATAAAAAGCTTGGTTGAAATTCTATCTAAATAGGTTCTTGTTTTTACATGGGAGGTTTGAAATTTTTGCCAGCAGTCTGCTGCCTGCTAAAGCTTGTCTTTGTATTATTTGTTCAATTCTTTTGCTGTCTTTGGCTGTCCACCAAGGCTTTTCAGTATGTCATGTTAAAGTATGATGTAGGGGTGGTAACGGTTTAATTAAGTTTTTTGGGTTTTTTTTTTTTTTTTAGCCCTAGCATGATGATATGGACTTAAGGTTTTTGTATGCTTATATTTGGTGAAGTGAGATGTCCCATCTACTAGTCCATTTGTAGTTCTCACAGTGTAATAACAAATTCTTTTGTCTTATTCTTATTGCAATGTGTAATGCTATCGTTAAAAAATTACGAAGATCTGTTATGATATATATATATATATATGTTAATGTATGCATGTGTATGAGTTGGAATATTATAAGAATATTTTATGAGAATTTAGGACAGATTAATTGAGAGCATTAATGTATAATTTGTAATTGATTTTATATTTTTAGTATTGTCTATATAATGCAAGGCCAATCTAAGAGATTAGTAAGTTGGTCTCTAAAGCCTTAATTTTAACAAGGTATTAGAGCTAGTAATGTAACTTTAGCCATTAGTGTTTCCATTTTTCTCTCTCTTTCCCCAAATCTTTTCGCGATAGCCTTAAATCATCATCCATGACGTTGTTACTATAGATTTCAATCTTGCACCTTTAAAAGTTGTGTATTGAAAGTTTTTTTTTTTTTTTTAGTAGTTTTTTATTAGTTGTAAAGGAGTTACTTTTTTATTCTCAAAGACGAAAAAAATAAGGGGTTGCAACCTCTTTGTGAATGTAAAATTAAGGGAGATAAATTTTTTTTTGTGTCGAGTGTAGCTGTAGAACTAAGGATGGAGTTCTTAGTTGTTAATTAGTGGTTGTGTTCCTTGATTGAAGGATTATTAGTTGTGTTTTGGAAGAAGGTTTTGTGGCCATGGCCATGGAAGAGGCAACTGCATTGAAGGTGATAACTCAAGAGATTATCATCGATTCACGGTCGTTGGATGAGAAATTTGATGGCTCCAACTACTTGTCATGGAGTAAGAATGTGTTGATGACCTTACGAGGTCTTGAAAAGGTTGGTTTCTAACAAGTGAGTTGCTAGTAAAAGAAAGCTTGGAGTATGCAACATGGGAGTAAGAAGACAATTGAGTACTTGGACAATTGTTCAACTCGATAGAACGATGAGTCAAGGTGATGTTCAATCCATACTTTACAAGTAAGGAATTTTGGGATGTTTTAAAAATTATTTATGCAAATTTTGAGAATTGGCAGAGGATTTCAAATGTTACCAGGGCATAGACTAGAATGGAGTAATATGATAGGAGCTTGAGGGAATATTTTGCTACGTTCAATGAGGTATATGATGAGTTTAATGAACTCATGCTCTTGTTTACCGATATGAAGACAAACCAAGAGTAACAAGAGGCTTTAGCTATAGTGTTTTTCTTGATAGGATTGAGGAAAGAGTATGCCAATTGTAGAGTAGCCAAAGATCTACTTTTTTTACTGGATGCTTATAAGTGCTTGAGTAGGGTCACCTAACATAATCCTCACACGAAGATAGGGTAGTATTTGTGGCCTTACAACATGAAGAGGGAGCATCATGCAGAGGACATGGTGGACGAGGTAGAGGATGTGGAAGCGGTAGAGGAGACTTACGGTCCTGCTATACATTTACAAAATGTTTGTTCACATCTCTGGGGCATTTTTGTCCCACCAGCGACATATGTGATTGATGCTGCGCTTTAGCCCGATAGCAAGAGGAAAAGTAGTTTAATTATCCTGGGATAAGCATGACAAACTTATTCAAATGCTTCAGAATCAGACTTCGATCTCTTCACTAATAGCCACTTTTATACAAGGTAAATCTATTGCATGCTTGGCTAACTTTTTCAGGACTTGAGTGATTGATTCATGAGCTTTGGATCACATAACAGGTATAACAGGTACTATTTATTCATATACTCTTATGATGGGAAAATAGTCTGTTTTGGTTACTGATGGAAACTCTATAGATATTGTGGGAAGTGGCAAGGCTCTACCTATATCCATGTTACCTTTACATTTTGTGTTGCATGTCCCTTTTTCTCCTTTTAACTTACTTTCAGTTAGTTAGATTACAAGGAATTTGAAATGTAGTGTCTCATTTTTTATTGTTTATTGTGTTTTTTAGGATCTATTGACGAAGCAGACTATTAGTAGGGGAAGGATCAAAAGAGATCTTTAAGTGCTTGATGACATATAAAAGATATAGTTTGAACTAATGACATACTCAGGAGAATTGTCATAAGCTTATAAGTCTCATTATCATTTTAGTCATCCATTCATGTCACATTTGTAAGCTATGTGTCCCCATTTATTGTCTTTTAGTTTTGATTGTGAATTGTGCAAGTTCGCCAAACTACACAAAGTGTTTTATGTACCTTAATTTAACAAAGAGGAAACTTTCCTTTTGTTGTGACTCATTTTGATATAAGAGGGCCCTGTCCTATTATTTTGAAATTTGGTTATAGATATTTTGTGACATATGTTGATGATTATTCACGAGTTTGTTAGTTGTATTTGTTGTGGGCTGCTTCGAATTATTCTCTATCTTCACTACCTTTCATGCAAAAATAAAGAATCAATTCGTTAAGTCTATTAAAATTTTACGAAGTGATAATGGGGGAGAGTATTTTTCAATAGAGTTTGTTTAATTCCTAAATGTAAAGGGTATTGTTCATCAATCCTTGCATATAGATACCCCCTAGTAAAATGGGATTGTTGAAAGGAAAAATCATCATTTGTTAGAAGTGGCTAGAGTTCTTTTGTTTCAAATGAAAGTCCCTAAGGGTGAGTGAAGCTATCCTCACAACATTGTATCTTATAAATCGTTTGTTGTCCTTGGTCTTTGAAAAAAATGTTCCTTTTCAAGTATTGTGTCCTGATCATCCTTTATTTTCAGTCTCCTTCAAGGTGTTTGAATGCACATGTTTTATTTGTGAAACTCATTCGGGTTGCACTAAATTAGATCTATGTCCCTTTAAATGTATCTTCCTAGGTTATTCACATGTCTAGAAAGAGTATCAATGCTACTTTCCAGACCTTGGTTGTTTTATTATTTTGGTAGATGTCACCTTTCATGAGTCAATTCTTTTTTCTTTGGTACTACAGTTTCAACCATCACCTATTATATCAAAAGAAGATTTTCTCATCTATCAGATAAATAGTACACCGATCAATGCATCTCTTTTTGGGGCATGTCTTGATATTCAATTTGGTCATACGTACACTAGAAAGACCTATGTAGATCTACATGCAAAAACTTCCCCTATCAAAATAGTTTTTTTATCAATGGATCCACCTCAAGACACTCTAGGTGAGGATGTACCGATTACTTTATGAAAAGGTATGTGAACTTATATAAATTTTCCTATATACATGCCCTCATACAAGGGACTTTCTAATAAACTTCAGACTCGTATTGCCACAATTGATGTTATTACTATTTTACGTAGTCTTCATGATGCTTTTGCAGATTTAGGATGGTGTAAGGCTATAGAGGATGAGATGATGGCCCTAGAGGCTAACCATAAATGGGACTTGGTTTCTTTGCCAGAAGGGAAACAAGTTATTGGGTGCAAGTGAGTTTACACCACAAAATTGAATCTTGATGGTTCATTGGCTTAAAGGCAAGGTTAGTAGTGAAGGGATATGCACATACATATGGAGTAGATTATTTTGATACCTTTTGTCTAGTGGCAAAAATGACATCTATTTGCTTATTTCTTAGTTTTATTGCTACACATAAATGGGCATTACATCAATGGGATATGAAGAATGCTTTCCTACATGGTGACTTAGTTGAATAGGCATATAGGGAGCAACCATTGGGGTTGTTGCTTAAGGGGAGTCTAGGAAGGTGTGCCATTTGCGTCGATCTCTGTATGGCCTGAAGAAATCTCCACACGTATGGTTTGGTAAATTTAGTGCAGCTTTTGTTTAGTATGGCATGTAGTAGAGTGAGAAGGATCATTTAGTATTTTATATATCTAAGAGTTTGAGAGTATATGTAGGTGATATCATCGCCACTAGCAAAGATAGTGCAAGGATTGACAAAGTTACAATGTATCTTAAATCCCAGTTTGAGACCAATGATCTTGGTCAATTGAAATATTTTATGAATATTGAAGTGGCAAGGTGTCAAAAAGGGAATCTTTGTATCTTATAGAAAGTATGTGTTGGAGATTGAGAGATGCAGGCTTGTTCCATGCCAAGCCAAGTGGCACATTGATGGATTCAGGTAGCAAACTTTATCCAGAAGTTAGCACTTTATTTGATGATCCCACACCTTATAGGAGACTAGTTAGAAAACTGAATTACCTAACCATGACGAAACTTAATATATTTTTTTTAGTGAGTGTGGTTAGTTAATTCTTGGCAACTCCCAAAGATACCTACTGGAAAGCAGCAATGCTCATTTTCTGATATTTGTTGAGGAATAGAAAATGGATACTCTACAGTTCTTTCTACTAGTGATGGGGATACTCGAGCCTATGCAAATGTAGATTGGGCAAGCTCTCCCATAGACAGGAAGTCTACATCTGGTTGTGTTATTTTCCTTGGGAGTAATTTTTGTTTAGAAAGAGCAAGAAATAGCAAGTAGTTGCTAGGTCTAGCGTAGAAACAAAGTATAAAGCCATGGTTTTGGCTACAACAAAGGTATTATGGATGGTTCAATTCTTAGATGAAATTGGGCTTTTATTTTGGACCCCTACAGAGTTATGGTGTGATAATTAGGCGGCAATTTATATTTCTTGAAAAAACCAAGCATATAGAAGTTGATTGTCATTTTATCAGGAAAAGTTGCAAAGTGGAACAATAATATTAAAGCATGTGTGCATAGGGAACAACTAGCAGATATTTTTATGAAATCAGTTCCAGGAGTTCGAGTTGACTATATATGTAATAAGCTTAGCATAATATATATGCTCTAGCTTGAGGGGAGGATTTAGTGTATGGGTATGTGTGAGTTGGAATATTATGGAAATATTTCACGGGAGACAGTTTATAAGGGATTAATTGGAAGCATTAATGTGTGATTTGTAATTGATTCCTTTTCCTTAGTATTGTCTATATAATGAAAGGCTAATTAAAGGGATAAACAAGTTGTTCTCTAGACCTTTAATTCTAACAATATATATATATATATATAGTTGAATTCATAACTGTGAAGTATTTTTTCATAATAAAAATCATTGATCTTCAAGTATGATGCCTCGCAAAATGAGTGTTTGTAACGTTTTTTT